TGACGAAGCCTCCACCTCGGGCCCTCGACCGAGGAAGAGTCCTGTTTCGGACGCGACGGAGGCGTCTCGACGTCCCTCTCGAGGAGAGGAAGGGGCGGAGGTTCGTTCGAAGAAGAAGAAGAAGAAGAAGAAGAAGAAGGGAGTCGTTGATGTTGGGAAGGAAAAGATTTTCGAAACGGCCGCTAACGAGCTCCGCGCGACTCCCGTTTCTCTTATCCTCCGATTATGTCCGCGTCGCGGCTAGGCAGGATGAATTTATTTCCACGAGTAATTGCACGGTCACGGTTGCCGTTCTCGTGAAACGTGGGGAAGCGTACGAGCGTGTAAGCGGCGCGTCGCGATACAATGGCAAAGGCAAACAGAGGAGGAGGCGATAACAAGTCTCGTTATTTATCGGGATAACCGTGCGTCGAGGAATAGACAAAGCGTGCGGATAGAGGCAGCAGCGTTATAAATGGACGAATAAATAGGGGCAACATTGATTACCGCTCCGGTTCCTGCTACCGGTTTCGACCTGAAAACGAGACGGGAGAGGCACAGCTCTCGGAGATGGCAGGTGTCTCTAAACGATCGAAACGACGCTTAGACGGCGCAGCTGTTCCCCCTCTTATATCTGATCCATTCACCGTGAACCGATTTCGAACTCGATCGAGAAAGAGTTCTCCTTCTTAATCTCATTCCTCCGTGGAATTAAAGTTTAATATCTCTTTTTAAAACTACTTTTTCGAACGAATCTTCGAGTAAACACGAATAGAGAGGAAGTTAGCATAGAATTGACACGAGACAGAGGTTTCTCACGGAGGAGGAAAAGGACGAGAAGGATTAAAAAATCCTTTCTTAAGTTTTCCCAGAGATAATTAATATTCGAGGATACGAAATTGAACGATCGAAGAGAGAAAGCGAAAAGACTGTGGGAAGCGTGCGTAGGTGAGACGAACGTTGGTCGCGCAAAAGGGAGAAGAAGGTGTGTACGTACGGAGAAGAGTGGATAAAATCGCATTGGCCATCGCTCGCTCGCATCTTCTTTTCCCTTTCCTTTCTTTTCTTTTCTCTTCTCTTTTGTCGTTCGTATCGCTTGTTCGCGCGAGGATCGAGCAGGGCGCGAAAGAAAATTAATACTCGGCGAACACGCCGCCATAAAGCTTCCCCGCGGTAATTACGTGGAGGCGAGTATTATGCGCGTTTGCCCCGACTCGCTCGCGCGCTTTACGAGCTTCTGCGTTTAATAACAAAGGTGAACGATGACAACATTGGAAACGAGATTCGAGGAATCCATCTCCCCCTCCATATCTCCTTCTCCACGTGCGTCCTCGCATCGATGA